CGTGAATTGTACCAGCTCTAGATATTCGTTCAATGGATTAACTGTTTCAAATCATAAAGTGACAGTAAAAATTTTTATATTTTCAAAGGACATAAAATAAAATGGATTTTTGATAAAATTGTGAAAAATTCTTAAGCAAGCTCTCGTTCATATTTCATTTTAATTTTAATTAAAGTTTGGAGAGATGTACTTGCATTTATGCTTCTGGAATTAATCAACTGTGTGCTATGTTAAAATGGATTTTCTTATACTTCAAAGCTAATGGAAACACGAGCAAGCGTTAAAAGGCATTGTGAGAAGGGAGAAGAGAATTAAAAAATGTATATATGCTTGTAATACAATAATTAAAATTTTTTATTGCTGTAAATTATTAAAGTTATATAGGAAACTATTAACGCCCAAGAGATGCATCGCCTTAGAAAAGGCCGCGCAAACTACACCTAAGTGAAATTGTTTGTCTTGGTAGTAGAAAAGTGACGCAACTGCACCTACTCTTGCAGTATTTTCACAAATTTCAATTAAATTTAAAGTTAAAAAATATTTAAAAGTTCCTCGAACATGTAGAGATAATCTAAATGAGAAAAGAAAACTTAAAGCCTCGTGTTTCCAAGCAATCTATCTTCTATCATAAGTATGTGGAGTCTGAATGCCTCTCTAATGTTAACTTTATCCCTATATATCCTTGAAAAGTTTTTTTTTTAAGCTGAAATTCTTAAAGCAAATAAAGACGTTACAGTCAGTCAACGCTGACCATTAAGTACCTTACACTATTTTACTTAAGGCAAGTTTTCGCTGGCTGAGCGATTTTTGTCAGAAAATGTTGAAGATTGCAATCTTTTTTCACATAACGGCTTTTTCAAAATAAGGCGTTCCCTGAGATTTTTCAAACCATTCATGGGTCTAAATACGTTAGGGTACTAAAATTTGAACAGAAATCAGGTAGGCAACGGACTGACCTGAAGACAGATCGCATAAGAAAATATGTATCTGTCGTAAGTACTTTTGGATGTTACACACATTCACACCAATTTAATATATCGTCTATCACAGGTGGTGTAGGTCATAAAAAATGTGTGACCAACTAGCAGTCAGCCAGTTGTCGTTAGCATTTTTTATGAACTGAAAGATAGTTATTTAGATAAATAAATATGTTTCCATCTCATTGGTATTTGGGATAATTTTTTTATAAAATGAAATCTAATGGCTTAGAAGTAATTTGAAATGAAATGATATTTTATTAGTACGTTACTAACGACAAAATAAAAGTCAGAGCTTTTTTCAACTTACGATATGCTACGCTTTTACTTTCACAGTCATAAATTTTCTTTTTATTCTTTTAAAGCAGAAAAAATTCATTTTCTTATTCCCTTTAGTATAAAAAATAAATTAAATAAATATATCCGTAATACATCTATAAAACATAAACCATTGTTTGTGAATAGCATGAATAATTTTTTATATATACCATCCAAGTTTTGGGTTTTATTCATTTTATCAAGACATGTGCATCCACAAGGAAGTTTTTTAGAGTCTATAAGCAGTTTTATTATTGTTCACTATGAAGTTACAAATCAATTTAGGAGTGTCTGTCCGTCCATTTGTTTTTAGGTAACATACTCGCCGTTGCATATTTGCTATTGCAACGGGGCCAAAACGGACAAGAGAGGCGCACATAGTACAAGATAAACTAAGAGCGCTTCTCAAAAAAGTTAAGTGCTTGGCTCTTAATATACACTTCCGCTACAGAGATATTATGATAAAAACTGCCAGTATTTGTGCGAAAAAGCACAGTATCAGCAAAGCGCATCCAATACTATATAGAATTAAAATTTCATTTTTTCCTTTTCTTGTTTTTTTATAAGATAAAGATGGTGCATATAAAAGATTCTGCGCCGGCCGAAGTTTCTCGTTGCGTTAGGTTATTCTCTGAAGCATTAAAAAAAAAGAACATCTACCGATTGTCATCTGTACTTTCAGCAAATATCGCGAGTCTTTCATCAGATAAATGATTTGAACCTCGCTCTAAAAGTCCTTAAAAGTAAGCATAACATGCATTGTATTGCATTGTAACGAGAGTAAAATGATTGTTTTCACTAGTAACTGCACTTCAGAGTGCATTATCATCATTCTTGAGCCCGTCTGTTGGACTAGTCATTCCCATTCCAGCATTCAACAACATTCCAGCATACATATAACATATATGGTTGGCTCAGTTAAAACTAAGCTGAAAGTAAGGAAACAATTGAAACAGAATCTTAAGCTTATGAAAAATAACATACCTACGATTTATGTTGTTGTTGTTATTACGTGTTTCTGGGCATTAGGAGCAGATAATAACATAATTATCTGCACGTTGTTTTACTCGTTCTATTATAGTTTTTCTCTTCTCCTTATTTACTCTTTATAAAGTTTTCTTATCTAGAGTGTATGGCTTAGTTCTTATATAGCGTAAGCTTTAGGATTTAATATTAAAGCATTTTTATTATCATATATCAGTTATTTGAACGCTTCTCAGCAATATTTACGTTCAATAAATTCCTGTGTTCTTATCTCTTGAAGGTTAAGATTCGAAAAAAATATATATCATAGAATAGTTTCTATCCTTTACATTCTTAAATGCATTTTAATTTTAGCATTAAGTGCTTATTTGAATCACTTTCCGAATATCAGGAGAAGCAAGGTCCACTCAAATATCAAACATTCTGGATCGATGATAGGTTCCCGAAGGAAAATGCAAAGCTGAAGCGTACAGATTTACTTTTCAAGTATGTTTTAATTGTGCCTGTACGATGGATAGGTTAATCTTAGTGAAATTTCGAATACGAGATGATAAGAGTAGGAAAGAGCATACTTGAGATTCCGAAAGCTCAATATTCAACAGCACTGTGGTAAATTTGGTTATTCTTTGAAAAAAAGTGTTCCACGAATTCTAATTTTTAATAAAAATTTAACTAAAGGTTAAAAAAGTCTAACTTTAGGTTAACATTAAATCTATTTCGCAGGATTTATTTATATTTATCTTATAGTTAAACTTTATACTACAAAATCTCTTTCAGTTATGCGCTAACTGGCTTAACAAATTAAAGAAAAAAGCTGATGAAAACAACGGCATGATTGGGAAGAAGACAAACGATGATAATATATTTACAACGGGCAACAAAATCCAACGCAGTAATCCAACTAACAATTAGCAAACTGCACGTTATTGAAAAGCAAATAATTTAATTTCTAGTTAAAAGTTTCTGTAAACGTCAAAGATCTTCGCGCTACTAAAGTCTCCGCTTAAATCGATAATATCAAAATTCCCCTAAGAGCACTCTTCAGTTGGTTCCGCAGGAATATACAAAAATTCTTCAATGCAACGCTTGCGCTTTTACGTCTTAAGGTCGCATACATTGCGAAGTTTATTCGTTTAGCTATTGGCAAATACAGCCCATTACGATTCATAACCAATTATATAAAACATTATAATTAAAAGATTGGAACTTAAGAAGAGGAACTTAAAATACTTAAACCTAGGCTTACAGTGACAAACCAAGGATAAAAATAAAAAACTAACATTGAGACTGACACTTAACGGCTATGTGTGATGTTGTCGACTATGTATGATGTTATCGAACTCACAACTTGGCTCACATATTCACTTTCATTCGAAATGGAAAATAAGTGAAAATTTTTATGAGAGTTTTTACAAACAATTCGTAAAGGAGCTCGTAGCAATGGCGTAATGGAAAGAGATGGCTAAGGATTCTAGACAGCTTAGTGCAGGCGAGTTCGTTCGCAATGAAGAGTCCACTTCACCGTTGTTGAACTTCACAGCAAGTTAGGAGAAAATGAACCTCACGGTTCCTATCTAAGCCCACGAAGAGCAAATAAGACGAATTGAAGCGTAGACAGTAGACGAGATTTTTCACAATATCTTTCACATTTCTTTGCTAATAGAACGATTATCATGATCATATTTTGGCGCATGTAAGTTTGCCGCAGACGGACAAATGCGAATTTTAATTTAATAAATTTCAGTCTTTCAGTCTTTACCGTAAATGCTGCTGCATTAGCATATAATCGACTTTGCCAGAAAGGAAAGTAAAACATGTAAAAACACTGTTGTGGGATAGGGCCCACCATTAAAACCCCTACGCCACTTTGCTTTATACAGTTCTTCATATAAAGACTTTTCAAAATAAGCCGTTACATGAGGTGAAGTCAAAAAATTGTGGGCCGATCCGAAACATTTTCAATTGCTTTCGTTCTAGAGGCAGCACATGTTGGTTTAACAAACTTTATCCAAAGCGCGGACCGACACACATGCAAGCTTAGAACGGTTCAGAAAGTGGTTCCGAAGTGTATAGTCGGTCTTCCCCTTTAAGGTAACACAATGTACCCTTGCACTCCACGCGATATAGAACCAAACGACGGTGAGCATTTCTTTTGCTTCTTCCGAGGTGATCGGTATAGCCCATCTTCCCCAATGTACCCTTGTGTGTATCACATGTCTCCTACATATAGTGTTATTATAAAAATTGATTAAAATAAAAAGCTAAAGCAAATATTTAAATTATTTATTAGAATATTTATTAAAATAGCTTTAAAACTTGCAAAAATATTGCTTGGCTTAAGGGGTTAAATCAGACTATAAAATATTATGTTTTGTTGTTATTCTCTCCGCACACTTATACCACAAACGTGAATAATAATATTTACAAATTTTTTCTCTTTTTTCTTTTTTTATTTGTTTTCTTTTTTTAGAATTTTCAACAGATTGAAATACAACAGGAAGTTCAACATTGCTGTTGTTAGCAAGAAAATAGAATACAAAGAGAAAGATATACAAAAACGAAAAATTTTCTTAAAAGAAAAGAATTGTTATTGAGGTTAAGCTATGGCTTAAACTTACATTAGAAAATTTCCTAAAAAAGTTTCTTTAACAAGAGTTTTTAATAAAAGCAACTAAAGTTCAAAAAGTTTCTTTAACCAAAAAAAAAAAAAAAAAAAAAAAAGAAAAAAGAAAATGAATCTAAAGGAAAAGATTAAAGAAAATAAAAAATGATAACTGCAAGTACAACAACAACAGCACCTGTTCATAACCAGATTTGGCGGATAAAAGAAATTCTACTTGTACTCCACGCTCGAAATATATTCCAAGTCTAAAAAAATATTCAAAAATTTTAAACAAAAAATTTCTTCGTTGTTTAACCGAAAAATAGCAAACTTATCAAAATGGCTATGGAATGGATAACGGCTATGGACAAGAGGTAAACTTACTGAAATTTTTTATTATTAATATTTTATTGATTTTTTGTAACATGTCCGCAGTCCATCTTCGATATTATGCATGCCTGGCGATGTAACGTCTTTCCTTTAGTCATTCATTGCTTTGAGTCTATTCTGGTTTTTTTTTTTTTTTTGACTTTGGCCAGTTCCAAAATATTGTAAACAATCAAGTTACGCTATGGAGTTGTACATCATACATAATTGTTGACATTCTTCTGCTGTTTCGGAAGTCTACGCTTAGCAAATAATTCTCTACGCTTGCAAGTCCTTCTCAACTATCACCTTAACTACTCGCCTTTGGGTCACATATTGAGTAGTCTTTCCCTCTTAAAAAGTGAAAAGTTTCGTACCTCTCCTATGAAATTTCATTTCCTCAGTGACTTCCCTGTTAATTATTCTACGCTTTTATCCAACTCATTATACTGAATCTCTTGCCACTATTGGCCTCTCTCCTTGGTCTTTCTAGAAGCAGTTGTTCCACTCGCACACCCATAGTAAGCTATACAGTATCGTAACCAGAAGCCTTTTTTTTAATATTTTCAATGCACTGTATCCGTTTAAATTAACAAATACCAGCTAAGCTCTATGACAACTACATGAAACAATCTCCAAACATGTTCAAATACGTCTTCGTCTTGGCAAATATATTGTCAGGTATTTTATTATTGCGTATGCTACTGACGCGAAACACGTGAAAAGAAATTGAGAAAATGGTATTTTTCTCTGGAGGAATCTTTTATATCCATTACTTTTCGATGAGCATTTTCCAAATTTTCTGCAAGTACTATAAGATTAGCGACAGAGCGTAAGATAACATTTTCGTTGCTCTACCTGTTGCAGTAATGAGCAATGATCGAAAACATAGAAGTTTTAGGTTTAGCGGTAAGTATAGAATTCTTTGTTAATTTTGAAACAGATATCTTAACTTTTGTGTGGGGATGGATATGTACCATAAAAAAATAGCCGGACAGACAGGCACATAGACAGACGCATAGATAAGCCTAGATCGATTGAGAATATTTTAGGCATATATATGGTTTATAATTTACATGATTTCTGTGCACGGGTTTTAATAAGATCAATCTGCCCTCATCTCTCGATGGCAGGTATGACATGTAAGAACATTACTATCTTTCATACTCTCTAGCTTTTGAAAATCACGATAAAATGAAACTTCGCAACCCCGTACTGTTGAGTAAGCCTGAGTGACTTTCCCATTTATCTATGGTTACTACTGGATCACACATTAAACATGGAGCATGCTACGAAATATTTAGAATTGTATCTGTTGTGATTTCCAGGTAAAGAAGGAAAAATCAAATTTATTTTCTTTTGAAAACAAAGATGGCCGCAGGTTACGTTGTAGTGTAAGCCTATTCTCCAGCCGATTTGCCTCATTGTCATTGAAACTTTTGCTTCAACGGCGCGTTGGCAACACTCCGACTGCCAAAAGTAGAAGAAGAAGCAGAATTAATTATCGGACCGACCTACGTGTCAACGGGGCGTTGTTAGAAGTCCGACTGCGAAAAGTAGAAGAAGAAGCAGAATTAATTATCGGACCGACCTATGTGTCAACGGGGCGTTGTTAGCAGTCCGTTTGCCAAAAATAGAAAAAGGTTTTCATCAGTTAATTGTGTCGATCTCTTTCAAAAATGTGCATTTAAATTGCGTCGCAATGACGAGTATACTCGTACGTATAGTATGAAATTAGATTGTGATGAATTAGTTTGACAAACATTCTAGATTACATTTTCACGAGGAAATCCGACAAGAGCAGATGGACGGATCATGGCGCATACATTCGTCATAACGCGAAATGTTGTAGTTTTTTCATGGCGTACACCCACACTTCACCAATTAATTAATTGTCGAATAGACGTTTGTATTAATGGACTGTTGTCCAAAATAGAAGAAGGAACTAGAATTCTGTTTCTTTTGTTAGTACTTCGATTCCTGTTCTAATCGGTGTGCCCGATTAATTCTAATTCGAGGTTGAATATAGTATCTCTGGTCCTACTTTACAGAGACGTTCGGTTTGTCAGGTGATAATCTCGCTTAACATGACAAGAAACTAATGCTAAACTCTGAAATCTATGTTCCTCGTTTTGGTCCTCACAGGGTATCTTAAAAATTTATTACACTGACGCATATTAAAAGAAAATCTGCAACTTTTACATTACATTACATTAAATGATAGATTTTCAAGTTTCCTTCTTCAGGTGAGCATAAGTTTCCTACATGCTTGTAAATAAAATATGTCTTTTGCCTTAGTTCTTACCCCTTCAGAACGCATGCATGACAAAGCATGTTGTCGAAAAGCGAATGACTGCTTCGTACTGTGTCTCTCTCTTAATCTTAAATTACAATCTCTCTAAAATTGCTTAAAGTTATATAAAAAAAAATTGAAAAATAAACTGAAAATTTTTAGATTTTATATAAATATTTTACTCTATATTATTATTATAGCAAACCTTCAAACCTTCAGGCATAATATAAAATTTATGGTAGAATTTTGACTTTAAATTTAAGATAAGCAAATATTTAAACGATGGCTGCATTTCTTAAATGAAAAAATATTAATCAAATTGAGATATTTCTCTCGAATATTAAACAGCATAGCGTTCGACTTTAAGGTTTTTTATTAAAAAACTAAATTAATATTTTTTTTTAATTTTTTTATAAATTAAATAATTTTAACTAAATTTTTATGCTTTGAGTGATGTGTATGTGTGTACATTCCATTTACCAATAAGCACAATAATGAATGATGGCATTCATCGTAATTAAGTCTATTCCCTTTATTGCTATAACTGTATGAACGTACTTCAAATAGTTTGCAATGCAGTAAGTTTTTCTTATATTACTTTGTTAAGCAAATGCAACTGGCAGTAGTTCAATATATATTTCCATTGACTAACAACTATGTACACTACTTAAGATCAATTTCATAAATATCTTCATTATCCTTACCTTACAGAGCAATAATTTTCTTTCTATTCATAGAAAAGCTTTCTCGGTATTTGTGTGCTATTGTGAATTATTCTTTGACTTAACATTTAATTACTGAAAACATTAATTATGAAATGAATTATTGTAAAAATTGCAAGTAATGATATATTGTAAGCAAACATTAATTAGTAAATTGCACATATGAAGCATATTTAATATCATACAAAAGAATTGATTATACAATTTTTTTTTTTTTTTGTTGAAAAGATTTTGTTAAATAAATCATTATAAATCATCATCAAAGATAAAAGTTTCTTAACCACTTATTTAATCAGTTGACTTATTTTATCGTTTAATTATTTATATTAATCAACTGATTAAATAAATGATTTTTGATGAAAATTTCCTAAAACTATCTTTTGTTTTACTATTTATTAAAATAGCTAAAGTATACGTGAAAATTTTCCTTTGTTTTATTTGAACATTTATGCATGAATGAATTATTCATTTTATATAAAACAGAAATAATGAAACAAAAGCGCCCACCTCCCAACACGATTAATTCGTGACATTATGCATCGAAGATATGTTATACGAAAATATCGTAAAGAATAAGAAAATTCAAACGTAAATTTAATATAACTGAAATCAAGAGAAAGTACTATGGCGGACCACGGTTCGCCATTAATTAGCCTACGATACCCTACAGTTATTCTTAACACGACTTTTCGAAATAAAGCTCTATATGGGAAACTGTTAAATAAGTGGTCCGACCCGAACCATTTTAAATAGCAGCGGTCCTTAGACTATAACACGTCAGTGTATCAAATTTCACCGAGATTTCTCAAAAATTGCGAGCTGTAGGTTCAACACAAAAATACATTGACGGATGGACAGACAAGTTTAGATCGATTCAGAAGCGCTTTCTATATATATGCAATAAGATGGATGGTATCTTAAGCCCTTAGAAATTTAATATGCCTTGCCCAATAAATAGTGTAGGATACAAAAATGTATACCGAAGTCATATTCGTGTTGTGTCGAGATTGTACTATAAGAGACCTTCAAATTATGTAAATTAATGTAATGTGCACGGTGTTGTAAGTTGTCTAAGTCTTGAGACGTGAAATTTTGTGATGAAAATTTTTACCTTAAATTTCTTTACATAATTTCTATACATAAATTAGATTATTATTCAGGTGTGTGGGCTTCCGAACTTTGCTCAGAGGCCTTCGACCGCTGCGAAACATTCAGAATGACGAAAGTGTGTCCAAAACTTTCAATATTCTCGAGCAACTGTCTAATGTAAACTATATTGTCTTCACGTACCAGCACACCCAGGTCAAGTGTTCTACAGAGATTAAAGTAATTTGTCCATCAATGAAGTCCTTTAGAAAAATTAGACGGAATAACCTACATACCGCGTATCGCCTTAATCCGCCTTTGGAACAGCCTACGAATAGAGGTGTTACCCACTGTACCTGATGTCTATATATTCGAGTCGAATGATCCCAAACACTACTTATTGTCTTCATTTTTTTTTTCCTGTAAACCCTCCTGATCATCACAGCGCGCGAAATTATATAACTTTCATCAAAAATTAGAACTGATCTATTTCTTGTTTGCTTTGAGCTGACTGAGGGACTACTAATGATAAAATAAAAATTAAAGCAAAAGTCAATTGAAAAAAAAAACGTATTCGATTTTTTGAAATCGTTCTATAATATTCGCTAATTCTGTTCGAAGTTGTATCAAAACCGTACAAGTACGCATTAACCAAAAGACGCTTTTGCTCTTAATCTTTTCCATGACTCACTTGATCTTACAATGGTATAATTACTTAACTTTCCATTGCTCCATTGCTTGCACTGCTTTCATATAGAAAAGTTTACTGAGTTCTCCATTGTCACGATTTCATGTTTTCACCCGTCCTGTATAATTCATTCTTTTACTATAATCCAATTAAATATAACTCTTTTAAGATGATATGATATCGCACTAGAAATAACCGAATCAAATACGCAGTAATGAC